CCTAATGGGTCAAAATTGACCCATTAGGACTTGGGTTGACCAAGTCAAAGGTTGACTTGGTCAACTCAGTCCACCATGCCCAGGGGTTTGACAAAATCAAGGTCAACAATCATGTTGTTTAGCTCTCCCAATCTACTACTAGTCAATAAAGAACCTCCCATTTTTTCAGATTCAAAACGACAGCAGTTAAAGTCTCCCATGATCACCCAAGGTTGATCCAAAGGAGGGGTATTGTCTAAAAGGTTGTCCCAAAGGCATTTCCTTTCCTCCATAGTGTTAGCAGCATAGATAACCGAAATGTAAACTGGTGGGAAAAGAACCCACCGATATCACTCCATGGATAAGTTGAGAAGAGGTGAAGAGTTGTTGAAAAGAAATCACTGAATTGTCCCATTTGATCCAAATTCTACCAGGTGTAGAATCCAAAAAATTATTACTGCTTCATTCTCAAAAAGTCTATGAGAACGCAGAAACGACAAATCTTCCATAGAAGAGATAGCAACTTTGGCTTCCAAAATGCATAACATCTTGAGGTCTTGATCTTTAATCAAAGATCTGCAAAAACTTACTTTGTTTGGGTTATTAAAACCCCTTACATTCCAACTAGCAATAGTTGGCAGAGACATTAAGAAAATTGATATTTGGCCTTCTTGGCCGATTTCCCTTTGGGAGGCTTTGACTTATTAGGCGACTTTCCTTTTTCTACCGATGACCTGGTGTTATGAACAATAATATCTCTACCTTTGGTAATCAAAAGATCAGCCTCCGTGTTAGAACATGAAGCAGAATCTGCTTCAGAGATAGTCTTCCAAAGAGTCAGCCGGGGTTTGGTCTTCAGCTTGAAGAGTTGCAAATTTATTTAAGAGAATAATATTGGGAGGTTGCGGGATCCTGAGAGGAGCCTGGAATCCAGAAGAGGCAGAGTCTTCTGTGGGAGAGTTAAGATTGGGTAAATGATGGTTTTCTTCAGGTGGAGGAATAGGGATAGTTACAGGAGGAGGTTTAATGGTGCTTGACGGGTTGGGAGGAAGCTGTCCAGAAAGAGAAACAGGAGGGAGACCGGTCACTGTGGGCGTGGGATTGGGAACAACAGTGTTGTTGTTTGGTTTGGAAGGGGGCTGAATGGAAGGAGATCGATGGGGGCGGGTTGATTGAGGTCTAGAGGTGCTGTGTCCCCTAGGTTTGGGAGGCTGAGGGGGTAAAACAGGTTGTGGATTGGGGTTTTTAGGGCATAAGGAGAAAGGGTGTATCAGAGAGCCGCACCCTTCGCATTTTTCTGGTTTCCAGTCGTATAACACTTTCGAAATAAGATCTTCACCATTAATGTCTATCGGTATTTCATCTGGCAAAACAGAGTCTTTAGTGATAAGAACACATACCCTTGCAAAGGTTAGTCTAGTGTGATTTGCAGTGAGAGAGTCTACAAAAATCGGTATGCCTATGAAGCTTGAAATTTTAGAAATGCCAGTTGGGGTCCAAAGCGCAAGAGGGAAATCTACTATTTTGATCCAGATCGGGATCGGAGCAGATTCATCACGTTTTGGCTTGAACTTTGGAGACCACCTTTGCAAGATGAAGGGTTTTCCCAACAGGAATCAGGGGCCTCCCGAGAGTACCATTTCAAGATCTTCCTCAGTAGAGAAATTCAACAAGAAAAAGCCATCAACAAGAGAAAGGAGGGTCATAGAACCTTTTAGAGTCCAAAGCCTTTGCATGGATTTGAGCAGTCTCTCATAGTAGGGACGAGGGCCAAGAGAGTACCCAATAAGAGCGGAAGTCCAAATATTCTTGCCTTCAAACAAGTCTTCAGCTTTAAAGGAAAGCTTTTGAGGAGGGGAGTAGAAGGAGACCGGGAAAGTAGCAGGCTTGACGGAAGAAGCCGAGACATTAGCAGCCTAAGTAGGCCCTCTATTACCAGCCAAGGTTAGGCTGCCAGGAGAAGGACCAAGAACCGAAGAAGAAGGAAGTGGTGGAAAATCGGAGGTGGAACAGTCCATCAAGGGAGGGAGAGGCCCTCCCGGACGTGGAGCGAAAAAGAGAACTCAAAGCGGCTGAAATCCTAGCAGAGCGATTTCAGCAAAAAACCACGACACACGCACAACGTTGCCTTAATATGCTAGGAGATGAAGTGAACTAAGTTTATTGAACTGGTTCGATTCAACTCCCACCTTATTTAAGGTTACTATAATTATATTATACTTTGATTTTAATTCTTGTTCTGATTAGCTGATTTTATATGCATTTATTATTGAAGAATTCTACAAATATTTGAATACTGAAAGAAATTATTCTTAAATATTTAAGATGGCATAATGTTTATATAAATTATTAGGATCTTTTAATATCTAAGTATGTAATAGAATTACAATGTCATTATATGATCAGATTGAACCATTCAACCAATCGTCGAATCGGTTCAATGACTTGGCCAATATTGGAAACATTGATTCTTTTTATAGAAAATGACATCAAAGGCTGAAGTCAATTAATTTTACGTAGACTTCAATAAATATATTCGAATGAATGAAGAAATTATTCTTGAATCAATGTTTCCGATTATCCAAAATTTTAAGCATTTCGATTACTTACGATAACAAAATAATGTATTTACAACCTGTGATCATCTTTTGCAAACCATGACTTCGCTTCCGGAAGCTGTACTAATATTTCTTTGAATCTTAGATTTTAGAAATCTGTACTGAATTGTGTATGTTCATAAGAGATAAAGGTGAAATTCAGACCTTATTTTGTTTAGTATATGTAGCCATAATGGCCTTATTCACAAATGGCCTCCACTGCAGAAGCTTTCAATACACCTGGGCATGGGTCTCCTCCAAAAACTTCAGAAATAACTGCCACTGAGCACAGTTGCTGTCCTAGGCATTTCTACAAATAGACAAGGCATTCTTTGTTTAGATCTTTCAAAGGACTTAATTTCCTATAGAGAGTTACATTAAAGGAAGGAAAATCTACCTTTACAAACACGTCGTAGGATTTATTGGCATGGCAGTTTCCAACTGAGTAATTACCGCAGGCTCCTTGAGGATTCCCAAAACTGGCAAACTTTATAGTCGTCATCCTCTTTCCTTGCTCACAAGATAGATGGACCTTTGGATTCTTATAGTCTTTAGTACGCCAACTAATCATGGATGGCTGCCATTCAGACACATGAGCACAAATACTTCCTACATTCCTAGTTGCCATGGAAATACCAGTCGGATCTCCACCCCATTCTTCAAACAAGACCATCAAATTGCCTGTTGGGTTTAGCCATGAGCGAGGAACATGGTACCTGAGATTTGACAAAAAGCTTCTTTTCCTACCGTAAAAATAGATAGTAAAAAAAAAAAAAGGGTCCCAAATGAAACTTTAGTTTAACAAGTTTTGTGCAAGTAGTGTTTGAACATTATTTTACCATCTTTGAGAGGGTGCTCCACAATTGCTTTGGCACTTGGTCTCATTGAATTCTCCGCGATAGTCGCATGGACTGCAATCGCCAGTTGCAATATAACCAGGCCAATATCTACCTATGCTTTGCCCATTTATCCACAGTTGCCCCTTTCCCATACTAATCATATCAATAGCCAATGGATCATTTCCCTCTGGTGCATTGAAAAAGGCCTGTAAGAAGGAGAATAAGAAAAGATTGCGCATCATACATTTTATACTATAATGTTTAATATGCATATCTTTTGGAATAGCAATCACCTTGTACCATGTTAATGGTTGTTTTGGGAGTAATTCTCCCCACTCGACTGAAGAGCTACCACTAAGAGTGTGAAGATTTAGAGCTTCTCCTTTCAAACCAATCTAAAAAGAGAAGAAGAAAATTATGAGCTTCTATGGTGAAAAAATAAACCAGATGATTGATATTAAGATGAAAAACCTGGTAGGTCCATGTCTGCGACGTAAGATCTCTCCTTCCTTCATTGAGACCATTTAAAGTGACTGGACCAAGAACCCCAATATTCCAAGACTCAAAATGCTCTCCAACATTCTGAGTTCAATTTATTGAACTTCATTCTATCATCGATCTTAAATTATAGTAAATTTTAGGTGCTTCAATTAGAAAAGTGCACCATGAATGAGTCTAATAAAAGCTTACGGGAAGACCAACTGATGCACTTAAGATAGAAATTATGTTGTTGCCCGCCCACAACTTCACACTTCCAGAATATGTGAGTCTTGGATCCTGCAAACCAGCATAAGCCGAGCCTGCCATATTTTGATAAGCATCAAACATTTAGCCAACAATTACAAATTCTGCCACCATTAGTTTTGATTGAAGAACCTGCCTAACCTGCTAGCTGCCCATTGATGAACACGTTTAAAGAGTGACCTGCAGACATCACAGTTAGAACTGGATAGGCTCCACTCTTCAAAAAGCTTTCGTTTTCAGCAATGTCAACACTGAAATGAAAGGACAACAAATATTGATCCAATATTCATTATCAAAATTATTGATTTTGAATATACAGACAATATTCAAGGCAAAGAAATGTCTAGTACTCACTTTGTCCTGTACCATAAGTAGTCAGTACTATCTCTAGTTACATTTAGTTGCTCCAATAATCCCACGAAGGTGAATGACTTATCATCATCAAAATTGATGTCATCACTGTATGATAGCCAAGAGAAGTTTCCAACAGGATTCATTTTCATCAGTGAGGTCTGAGCTCCCACCTGTAAAAGCAACATGATATTTTCTTTCAGTGTTTCATTAGATTTTGAAGGTTGCAGATTTTTCTGACAAATTGTAGAATAGAGAAAACAAATTGCAGAATAAAGAATTTACGTTTGAGACAGCTTTCTTACTACTTTTTAAAGTAATTTTTTTGTATAAAAAATTTTCAGTTCAAGAAATTTTCTGTCCCAAATGAAGCTTACATCAACTTAGAAGAGCTTTTTAAGTACAACTAAAACCTCACCTTGGCAGTATTGAAAATTGTGGTTTTGCAATCTGGAAGGATGCTAATGGACCATGGTGGAAGATCATAATGCAGTCCATTAAAAGTAACCTTGCCATAAAATTGAGTATCATAATTGGCAAGAAAAGCCGCACAATCTCCAGAATTTGACCTGAAAACATGTGACTAATAAGACAATGAATTAAATAGTTAGTTCAGTTCCTATTTATCTTTCATTCCATATTAATTCTACCCCATTAATACATAATACATATAACCATACCTCTTGAGAATTTCCAAGTGTCTTCACAATAGGATCACCAGAAATCAAAGCTGTTTCACTCAATTTAATTGCTCTGTGCAAATCCTTCAAATGACCCCATTTTGGTTGTCTCAAAAGTCCTAGTGAATAAAACAAAGTAATATATCTTCATAATTTTTTTTAAAAATAGAATTTTTATTCATAGACATTAGAAGAGTTATGAACTTAGGAATTAGGACTTGAGATTTAAATTATAGTTTAGGATAAGAGATTAAGGCTTCGTTTGGAACGGCTTTTTTATTGCTTCTTAAAATAGCTTTTTAATTTAAAATTTTTATATTAGAAAGTTGCTTTAAGAAGCAGTACGAAAACTGTCTCAAACGAAGCCTGAAGTTGGCTCACCAAATTCATCAATTGGGGCATCATAGTCATAGCTAGTTGCTATGAAAGGGCCACCAGCTGTGCGGCCAAAGTTTGTTCCTCCATGGTACTGAATGAAAAATGGATATATAACTTTAGTTCGCCATTATCACGTACATATCTATCAATACAGCCACTGAATCAGCAAATATGGAATTCTGACCATATAGTAGTTAGCAAAAGAGCCTCCTTTTTGTATAAACTTTGCTATGGAAAAAGCCAAGTCCTCAACAGGCCGGTGTGGCACTGGACCTCCAAACCCTGTGAACCTGTAGTTTACTAGCCGAATCATATTCTGTCTCACCCAACTCTTAAAAACTTTTTTTTTGAAGTAAACTTTATGTATATGTTATGGAAGAAAGAATATCGAAATAATTACCAGCCAGTCCAAGCTTCTGTAAACATGGTGGGCTTGTAAGGTTGATTTGGACTGAAATAATCACCATAAAACCCATTCCAGGTATTGATCTATAAACAAAAAATAAAAAGTTTTATAAGGAACAAAATTACAAAACAGATTACAATAAATGGAATGCTGTCATGACCATGTGACCTTAGAATAACATAATATAATGTAGTAGAAACTTAAAACATAATATACTTACAAAAAAAAAAAGTTTCATGATAGTTCTTACTGATTTTTTAAAGCAGCTTTTTAGTATAAAAAAAATTTATTTGCGAAATTTTCGTATTAAAAAGCTGCTTTAAAATACAGTAAGAATGTTATCCCAAATGAAACCTTCGTCAATTGATTATATAAAATTGATCTTAATTTATTCTCAAAGAGACTATTTGTGATCAATCTTGAATAGTCAAAATGATAAAGTTGAAGAAATGTAGTACTTTAAAACTAAGCTTTCGTCTAGGAAAGCTTTTTTATTACTTTATAAAGCAAATTTTTAATACAAAAATTTCTATTTAAAACATTTATTGTACCTAAAAAGCTGCTTTAAAAATTAATAAGAAAGTTGTCCAAAATAAAATCTAAATTTGATGTATATGAAAACTGAAATAACTCTTTTGGGGTTTTTCCCTTTTTTAAAGCCTCATGATTTATGAATTATACAGGTTGCCATTATAGAAGGCATATGAACTGCTTACAATAGGATCAGGAGCATCATCTTCTTTACACATGATCCATGGGACACCTGTGTCGAGTCCTGTAGCCATCTGTGCAGCCCAAGCCGCATAGGCCTTTGCCGGTTCGCCTTGATCCCACTCTAATGGTCCAAATTCATTCTCAATCTATATAATTTTAAGAATAAAAACAGCAATTTCCTGTTATTATTATTAGTACTATTATTATTATTATTATAGTGAACATCATAAAATAGCAGAAGTTTAGAAGAGAAATTATTGTGTGTGGTCACCGAACGCCGTTCATAGGCAAATTAGGACGCGCCACGTCACTTTTTAGTTGTATACCGGATGATGTGGCGCATCCTTATTTGTCTCCAGACAATCCAGTAACCTTGCATTATAATTTCTCAGTTTTTAAAGATACCTACCTGACAGAGAATGATGGGGCCACCTTGCCACTCGAATAGTCCTTCAGACTTCATCATGGAGACAATCTTTACAGTGAAATTCTTCATGGCAGCCTATTTCCACAATATATTTCTTCTTTATAGGGACTTCACAAACATATCAATGCACTTTTATTTATGAAAGTAATATCTTTTATGCTAATTTCCCAAAAAAAATATCTTTTATGCTTACAACCATAGCATCTTTTTATTTAAATTATATATCAAAATATATGTATATAAATATATTTATTTTAAATAAATAAATGCTATAAATATTCTTATGTCATTTAAAAAATTAAAATATTGTAAATATTAAATTTTGTGTTAATTATATAATTAGACAAAATTTATTAGTAAATTTGTGAAGAAAAAGGTTTTTTCATGATGTCTTAACAAAACAAAATTAATGAGTTTAACTTTTTTGAATATATTTTGAGATGAATTTAATATAAATAATTAATATCATAATCATTTAAATATATATTTAATAATTATAAAGTCCATGACCAAAAACATATGTGGATATTCTCATACAAATTTTTTCCATTAATAAATCAGTCTTTTTATCTTTTTGGAATAAAGCAATTGAGTAAGAATGAAGGAAAGGTAGGTTTTGGCTAAAAGAAACAAATATGTTTTGAATCTATACCTTGAAAGGTTCATTATCAGTTCGAAATTTGATCCCCGGAACATATTTTAGCCAAACTGGAAATCCTCTGCTTGACTCACAAAATTTAGTCTCAAAAAATAATTTTAATTTAAGGCTTCGTTTGGGACGGCTTTTTTAAAGTTTCTTAAAGCAATTTTTTAATAAAAAAAATAATTTTTATTTAAAATTTTTTTTCAAGAAGCCATAAGAAAGCCGTCCCAAATGAAACGAAAAGAAAATATTGCTAAAAAAAAAGAAGCATTAGTTTGAAAATGGAAAAAAGGAACAAAATATTCTGATTATTTTTTTTAGGAAGAGTTTAAAATTTTTTTATAATCTTAGAAGGTATATATATTGAAAATCAAAAATTATTTGTTATCTCAAATCTTTTTAAAGTTTCTTTCCTTTTGAAAACTAACCCCAAAGTTCCACTCAGCGCAGATGTAGGGCATGCGGAGGTGACGGTAAGACACCTGCCTGAACTGCTTTGATAAATCGAACCAGATATATCATGTCCTCAAAATAATACTGCAAAAATTAAAGAGAAAAAAGGAATTATCTAATAATTTAGTATTACTATATTGTACACAAATCATTATATCTATTATAATAATATTTCAAATAAAAATCAAATATTAAAATAAACATAAAAATGATTCTTTTTAAATAAATTAATTTAATAATATTAAATTGTATATAAATAAACATAAATATTATATGTTAATTAAATTAAGAGTATTATTAGATAACAACTAAATTCACTATATATTGTATCACCTAATAATTTATAGTATATATATTTATATAATATAATATAATTATATAAAATATTAATAGGATAAAATGTAAATAAAATATTGATTAATTTCTATACATATAATAATATATTTAATTTTATTCAAATATTAAAATATTATTCCCCTAATATAAATTTTTTGGGGTTAAGATATATAAATAGATATATATTTAAAAAAAATAATAGAATCAGTGAATTGAAAGAAAAAATAATGAGAAGCTTAACACTCAAAATTTTGGTATTTATAAAACTCATCTTATTTTTTTGAATAACTGATTTCATCGAGTCATTAAAAATTTGTCAAAAGAGAAAGGGAAAGAGGAGCCCGAACCTGTCCAGGAGAGGGTTCATGGCCGTTCCAGAACACATAGGTTTGTATAACGTCCAGCCCTCCATCTTTAGCCTTCCCTATAAGATCCGCCCACATCTGAAAGAAATCCGAAACCCCGAAACAAGAAATCAGAGGCATTAGTGCATAAAAGCCAAACAGAGAAAGGAAGGAAAGAAGCCATTTTTGTCCTTTAAGCCAACAAAGGTCACCTCTGGAGAGCTTCTCGGGTAGTGAATGGAGCCGGAGAAGAGAATCCTCCGCTGCCCATTTATTATAATCACCTTGTGGTCGTAGGCGACGGCGGCGGTCGCCGGAGTTAACAGAGAAAGAAGAACGCCGGCCATCGTCGCCGCCGCAAAAAGCAGCGATTTTTCCTGCAACTCCGGCGATGGCCGCGTGCAATCCATCACTCTGCTCAAGGCAGACCCGACGAATAGGCTACGAATTGCTGGATTAGTGGGTGGGACCTGGATTGAAGCCTGCAGAGGGATTTTCGTATAAAGCTGCAGGAAGGTAGTGGGCTTGTACTGAAGTCTTTACAAAAATTATTTTTTATTCTGCAATAAAGTTATATGGTTCATCCCCATCTGTTATATTATTTAATATATTTGCAGTGCCAACCAATCCCATGTGCATGGGAACCCGCAACTAGTTTAATTATTTTTATTTTTTTTTCATTATTATTTAAAAAAATTGATTAAGAAGGATTTATTCGTCATGCATTGAATTTTTAAATGTTTAATGATAATTTTCAGTAATTTGAATGTGTTTAGCATGTGCAAATTAAATAATTTAATTTTTTTGGACATATAGGTTAATTAAAACAAATTCACACGCAGATTACATATGTAAGTTTCAAACATAAATTTTTTTAGTTGAAAGTCAAAGTTCTCAATCAATCAATAAATCAAGATGACCTATATTTAATTTGGATGAATCAATGATGTGAGTAAGATGATAGAGATGGAGATTTATATAATAATAATGGTTGAGGCTCTTTCCGATAATATATTGGGCCTTTGCCCAAAAATGATTAATGATATCCGTAAGGTGGAGCACAATTATAACACTCAGGATAATAATGACAAAAATAATGAATTTTTAAATAACTATAACAAATTTAATCAAGATGATGACAATTAAACTAATCTTTCTTTCTCATAAGGTCATATTTTTTAGTCACATGTAAGTTTTTTTTGGGAGATATTTAGGCCAATTAAAATAAATTCACACACACATCATATACGTAAAACTCAAAAACCTAAATCTCTTAGTTGATCGCAATATCTCATAACTAATAGACCAATATGAGTTGCGTGTCATGAATGCTCGAGGACCTTAGAAACCAAGAGGCTTAATAAGATTGCATCACGAAAGAAGCTAAAAAAAAGTTGATTGCAGACCAAAATACCTGAGCAAATGTCCTAGGTAATTTTGATAAGAGGATTATTAATGAGCATGGTGCATGAATGTTTTTTCTTTAATTTAATATTTATTTATATTAATAATAATTTTATTATTATAAGAAAATATTGCGCACTTCAAAGTATAAATTTAAGTCTTTTTTTTGTAAAATAAATGATAATTTGAACATTATATCTTATTTTATGTGATTTTATTTAATTAGAATCGATCAGATTTTAGCTAATTATAGCTTCTTTGAGTGGCAATTTAGATCAGATTTTTGCTACTTATAGCTTCTTTATCCAAGCATCTCGTCTCCAAGTTGTCCACATAACTGCAGCCATGGCTTTCCTCTGCATGGTCTGCATGGCTTTCCTCTGCATGGTGATTGATTTCTAAGCACAGTTCTTCATATAAAAATGTTTAGTCTTGAATTACTTGTGCTAATACTGTATTCCTTAGCCGTGAAGCATGATCAATTATGGTTTGAAGTTCCTTTTTGGTCCTGGGGGTACTCATTATCTTTCTTGGATCCCAAGCATCCTTCTTCATTGTTGAGCTTTTTGAACAGTATCAGAGCTTGTTGTTAGTGAATAGTGATCGACTTCAGCTTGTCTTTTGTTTCCATTTTTTAGATCCAATAAAACTTGAAATCACTTAACTGTGAAGGTAATCGACCAAACTCAGCATTAAGACACTCTTTTAGTAACCATAAATTATGCCATCCAAGGCTATCATTGTTATCTTAAACCATAGAAGAGGAACTTAGAATATGATGCACATGCAATTTATCTATCCTTAAATAAAGGAGATTTTTATATTCATCTGATTGACCATATTATGAAAAGTGCATTGGTGCTTTAAAGTTTTGATTGCAAGCAACTTTTTCTTATTCCTTGTCAATGAGATGCAAAAAGAGAATATTTTTAATTAAAAAGTAGCTAGAGAGAGCTTTAATTTTTTTATTTTTTTTCTAAATTAATTTTTAAAGTTGATTATCAGTTCAATAGAGTTTGTAGAAAAGTTTTTTTTTTTCCTTAAAATCAATAGGAATTGTATGAATTCAAGATAATCCACAGAAATCAATAAATGAAGGAAAAGGACCACATGAAAAACTATAAAAAAATAGCATGGGTAATCGGAATATTTTATTTTGATGGCAAATAGAAGCACGGTTTTCAAAATCGGACCAAATCGACTGGTTTGATCGGTTCAACCGTGAACTGGTCATATGACCGATTTCATCATCATGAAAAACTGGCTCAAGATCAAGCCGAATTGAACCGCCTGTTTAATCGACTAACTATTGAACTGGTCTTCATTTTATAATTGACCGGTTCAATTCATAATAATATAAAATATTTAATTAAATATTAAATTACTTTAATTATACCATATTTTATTTAACGAGCTAATTTTTTTATAATAATTATGTATCAATTAAGCACCAACAATTCATACCCACATGGTCCCACCACCCCATGTGAGCTCTTAATTCATGAAAATAAGAAAAATTATATAAACAACTAAGACAAAGCTCTTAAATGATATAACCCTTGTTGGATCTAATGTTTCAATGCAAGGTGGTGTTTCTGTTCATCAAAGAAGAAATTTCAATGATGCTCTATTGGTGATTATGGAACCTTCATCCATTCTTGTGAAGACTACTTCCCCTATAATTGGTAAAGGCAAAGAAGTTGAGAATGGAGTGGTGGTGAAAATGCCTTGCCCCTCTTGTAGTATTTCTCTGTTGAATAGACCTAATGATTTTGAAGCATCATCTTCCTTGGGTATGAAGCTTTATGCAAACATGTTTGGTAATTTGAATGCTAAGTATGATATTCTATATAAGGAGGATTGTTCTGTTAAAGTGATTCTTGATGAGCATGCAGACGTTTGTTTTAATGCTCAAGAAAGGAAAGTTGACAAAAATATGTTATTAGAAGTTGTGGATGATCGCGATGGATTGGTTGCTAAAGCTCATATTAATCCTTGGTCTAGATGTCCGAATATTAAAATTAATTTTTCAAAAAATGAATCCTTTCTATCAGAAGTTGGGGTTGCTAACAAGTTGCATGAGTCAAGTGTAAGCTTATTCGAAAAAACTTTAATTTTATGCAGTAGTTAAAGTTTTTGGGAAGGATATTCCAGTCCAAGTGATTGCGGAGGAGTTACGTCGTCAATTGATGCAATTAGGGAAATTCCACCTTACTATCCTTAGTTTAGGTTGGGTTTTATGCTCATTTTTCTCTCTTGAAGCTATGAAGAATATTTTATCAAGAGGTCCTTGGTATGTGAATGGTCATATAATAGGACTTGATAAGTGGACTCCTAAATTTTCACCTACTTCATTTAAAGGCTTGTCATCTCCTATTTGGGTTAGTATGCCACATCTATCCTTACAATATTGGGATGAGATTAATGTGACAAGAATTACATCATTGGTAGAAACACCCTTATTGATTGATACCATATGTTCCAATAGGGAAGAATAAAGTATGCAATTATTTGTGTTTGTGTTGCCTTAGAAAATTAACTCCATATGGGATTTTGGGTGGAAGGGTTGAATGGACAATTTTTTCAAAAAATGGAATATGAAAAAATTTCTATATTTTGTTTTAAAAGTGGACAGATTGGCCATTTGATCAATGAATGTAATCTGAAGGAGAATGTAGTTTGTGATGAAGGTGTGGTCAGGTCTAATTTGAAGGTAATATTTTTGAAAAGTCTCTACTGAGGATACGAATAATGGGTCTTCTTATGGTCCTTGGGTGCATGTTAATTATGGGAGAAGAAGGAAGTTTTTTTATTGCTAATTATAAATGAAACCATAAGAGAGTTTTGGTTAATAAAAATGAAAATCTTTGAAAAGAAGTCTCTATCTATCTCAAAAAAGCTCAGATGAAAGACAATCCTACGCAGACCTCTAGATTGGAGGTGAATGATAAAGAGTGGATTAACTCATCTGTTTCCAATGATGTAAATATTGATTTGCTTGTGATTATTGAAGAAGAGCAAGGAAATACTTAGTTTGAAGCCTATAATGGTAACATGGATTTAAAGATAGAGGAGGTTGTTATTAGAAGTCAAATGAATAAGTGATGAAGGCGTTTACTCTTTCTGTTGATGGTAAGGAATCATGTTCTTATAACTTTGATATACCAACATATATTAATATGTTCAAATTATTGGAATCTTGTTGTAATGAAGAGAAGACCAAGGGTAATACTTATTTAGCTGATTCGGGTGTAGACGATAAAGAAGATGGAGAATTAGTTGAGGTTGAGGGGAAAAATGTTGAATTAGTTGATGGTTTAGATGATGTAAGTTTTGGAGTGGTTAAATTTAAACTACAAAAAGAACTTAGATCACTTGGAAAAGTTAATTGTCTTACTTGTAATAGAAAATGTGAGTTGTTGAATAAAGATAGTAGTGAGAGTAATCCCACTTTATATCTTAAATGACATCAATTGCTTTTTAGAATTATAAGGGGGCTAGGAAGAGTGAAGCCTCTCAGTATTTGAAGGAGTTTGTGAGAGACTTTGATACGTTCTTTGTTTGGCTTGTTGAAACTAAGATTTCATCTATTGATAGATTTGAGTTCAATAGATTTATTGGTGGTAATTGGGACTTCTTCCTTTTTCCTGCAGATGGGTTATCAGGTGGTATCATGGTTTGCTAGAGGATGAATATTGCTTCTTTCTCAGTTATAGAAGCATCTTCTCAAGTAGTGGTAGGAGAGCTTAATATTGTTAATAAAGGTGTGTGGATGGTTTCTACGGTTTATGGTAGTAGGGATATTTATAAGAGGAGTCTGTGGAGTAGTTTGGAAGTGTTTTTGGGTAGACAACTTCCTTCTATTATAGGAGGAGATTTCAATTATATTTTTTCTCAAGATGATAAAAGAGGAGGGAAGAAGTTTGTCCTCTCTCAAGGGCCTCAGGATACGAATACATTTATAAGCAATTGTGATTATCATGAGGTGGGGGTGACCCATATTCACTTGGTGTAACAATAAAAGTGGCGGATCTCATATTTTGGAGAGGTTGGATCGATGCCTTATTAATTATGTTGCATTATAAACTATCTAGTTGGCGCATGTTAGACATCTTTCTATAGTAGCTTCAAACCATTATCCTATTTTGTTTAACATTTTTT